ACAGAAAAGCGAATGTCACAATTAAAGCTATATTCATCAAATTTATTATGTGGTCTGTATTCTTTAATGTCAAACATAAGTTACGAATTTTCAGTCATATACAGTATTTGTATAAACGTACACACACAGGAGAGTCTTTGCCTTTGACTTATCTTTGAGTAGGCTATTGTCGGATTATTTTACCGTAGGTTTGATAATAGAGAGGTATACTTCAACATATTTCTTGAACATCAATGAAGTTTCAGCGAAGTCAATGGCAATGTTGGAATTTGGAAATTTCACAGCGCTTTCAATAACAGCTCGAATAGCATTGTTTACAAGCAAGGTTTGTTCCGTTTGTAGTTTGCGATATTACAGAAATTGAAAAGATCTCTCTATTTCGTTACAATTGCACATCTCAGTATCAAATAAATCTTTTAGGATAGACTTCAACAGGTAAATAACAGCTACATCGTTCGGTCTGGAAATATATTTTCTTGTAACGTTTGCGACGACGTGTGATTTGTTCGAGCCGTATATCGCACCTTGTATATTGAAAACTGATATATCTTTGCTCACCGACATTCTGGGCACAATGACATTTGATATTTCTAATTGTGTAACTGGATAGTATTCATGACAAATAAAATATACAATCTTGTAAATATTTCCTGCATGATTTCTGCGTTATTTCGTCGCTCACTCCTTGCTCAGTGATAAAACGCTACTTAGTTACCCACCCTAATAGAAATTTATTGTTACCTCCCAGATTCTGGGAGACAAGTGACCAGACAATACCAGGGTATTTTCTCAGCAGGTGGCCGTGCATCGAGTATAAGAGAAAATAGCCTGGGTACGGGGTTGGTACCTCATATGGCCTCTTGCCAAACACCGCGCGATCTTCGTTACGATATTGCGTCTCCACGATGCTTCGTATGTCGTCCACAAACTCGTGAGGTAGCTATGCATCAAACTTTAGGGCATGCTTAATCATAAAATTTGCTGCTTCCGGGTCATTATTCGTGTACTCTCTTGGGATATTTCCAAGACCGGCCTCAATTCGTATTGGCTTCAGCATCGACTCCTTGATTTGAGTAGCCTAAAGACGCAAAAATAATTTAGTGTTATTTAAAAATATCCAATCGGAATATGATAAAAAGGAGATAGCTCTAACCCCACCCCAGCTCTAACCCCACCCCGCAAAAAATTGATATTGTCCTAAGGAAATGATGTAATATTGGACGGGGGTATTAATTAGCTTTTTCGTATATCATTTTTTTGCATATCATTGCTATCTTGATATGTTTTAGGTTAATTACTACCTAAAATATAACAACTACGGTATACAACTGCGACATCAATAACATGTCATGTTTTTAAAGAAGTAAAATTGTTTGTAGGTCATAAAGTAAATCCTCTAATTCTAATAAACCAAAATTTTGCTTGTGTGAAAACATTAACAACCGGATAGACCAGAAAAAATCGAAAAGTAAATTTGCGTTATTGCACCCCAGCGGCAATATTTTTTGGCGTTTCAGTTGTGCGTGTTTGATACACACGTACACGCACTGTAACAAAGTTAAATAAGTTTAAACCATTTAAATATTACGGAACATACATGTAAAAATCGAGCCTTACGTGTATTTGATTTATGGTGTGCAAAAACTTACACAAGCGTTTCGTGTTCGTGCGTACAAAAAATTGCTTTTAAAACCTTAAAAAACCAACTCACTTTGACAAAGCAAATATATAGATGCCTGCAGAACAGGCTAGCTTTCTGTAAAATGATCCACCCACCTTTTCTTTAACAAACCATTCATAGAAAGTACCATCACGGTTGGAACCACCACATTGGGCTTCTCTGGTGTTCCACAATTCCTCCAGGTTCTCCTGTTTGTTTTGAAAATCGTCTTCGTCGTTGCTATCAACCAAACCCAAAAATTTCACTTCTTCCTCTTCTTTTCCAAAAATCTCATTCAGAAAAACTTTCTTCTCTCTAGGTGGGATGTTTCGTCGCTCCAACTCTCTCTTAATGTTATCTTTAAAGTGAATAAAACACCTCAAGAACAACACAAATCGAAAGTTTCTGTTTAGGTCGTCGATTAAAGCCTTTTATCCATCTGTGCCGCAAGCTAAGACTCCATCGAGACCTGGATATTCAGCAATAAGCGAGTTTGCGAATCGTGAGTAGGTTTTCCAATCCTTTCTTTGGTGCACATTAAGAAGTGGACCAATAAAAACTGGCGATTTCTTGGTTGCGTTGTGGTGCAACTTCAGGTTTCGATACGTCATCACAGTGAGGCTAATATTTTCTTGGAAAATATTAAAGGTTGGGTCTATCCCAAGAACACAGAAATCGTTCCCATTGGTGCAAAAATGCTTCAGATAATTCAGCTGGCGGTTACTGGCTAAAACACAGAGAAAGTCTGGGTGGATTCGGCATTCTCGAATAAAGGTAGATCCGTTACCTTCCGCTTCTTCCCTTTTTGCTTTTTCCAGCAGTTGCCATCTACCGTCCACTTCGTTCATGTTTCCCATTTTAACTTCACGGTTTTGCTCCGACAGTGGATCTGAGTTTGTCACGGATTTTGTAGACTTCTTTGCCGCAAATCTCGCATTATATACATCCTGCGGTCCCCATAGAAATTGTCCAAAACTTCTTGCTCCTGTCACGTCCTCAACAGAACGGTAAACATTGATTAGTACTTCTTTCGGGTTCTGCGTTTTGCTGCCAACAGATACTTGCAGAGCATTTTTTATGCTTTGAAACGTACGTCTATATGAATTGCCTTTTCTTGAATTTCCATGAGGTAAAAAGGTGTTTTAGCTTTATGTTCATTATCCTTAAAGAGATATTGAACAAGTGTGTATCGCGATTCCACTTGATCACCTACATGAAAAACAATTTGGCGTATGCTAAAAAGCCTTATGATCTACAAAATCAAAACTAAGCTTGGGCCCTTTCTTTAATAAAATCTACACCAGTGAAAAAATGTATGACTTAAAAAATTATTTTACTGTAAAAACTGTTAGAAATCTGTGAAGCTAATAAACGAATTACACCGTTTTAGTTAACCTGATAATTAATAGCCTTATACAAGCGCTTGTTTCGTCACACAATTAAAAACGTAGCAAATACATAGTTCAAATACAATATATAAAAAATGAGAACCCTATTTTGTGAGCGAAACAGTTTTAAGTTATTTAAAGTGTGTTCGTTCACTGCAACCAGGTAAATCAATCACGTTTCGCTCGCTACTCTGGTTTAATTAAATAATTTATTACAAAGCCCAGTCGAATTGTAATCAAGACCCAACGTTTCGACACTCCAGTTTAGTGTCTTCATCAGGGGTGATCTAAAATTGCAATCGTGGCTTCTTAAATACCCAAGGGGTGACGTCACCTGCCAATGAGATGCATATATTCCTCTGGCAAATAGGCACCGTCATCCATATTCAAAGCATGATTACTCATATTTATATGCCACGCTTCTAGGCAAAGTCTTTGACCATAGCGATTGTTTGTGGTAATTACTTTAGAGTTTTCCCACGCAATCTCGTGTTTGGTGTAACATACATGTTCGGTTAAAGCTGATTTCCCCTTGTCTAAAGTTGAAACAGCCTTTTGATGTTCTTTTATCCGTGTACCAAACTGGCGTTTAGACTGACCCAAATACTCTTTCTCGCAGTCACCGCATGGTATAGAATATACAGCATGAGTTTTCTGATTTGTTTTAACAGGATGTTTTGGCTTTGCGAAAATATGGCCTAAAGTCAACCTTAATATTACAATTACTTAAGATTCTCTTGATTGGTTCTGTGACACCCTGAATGTATGGAACTATTGCATAACCTAGCTTAACAGAGGTATCACCCTTAGAGTTATTTTGATTCCTACAAACAGGTGATCTCAGGCAATCATTAAGAAAACGTTTTGGGTAATCGTTTTCCCCTAAAATATTTAGAACATATTCACGTTCATTAGCTTGAGAATCACTGTTTGACGGCAAGGATTCAGCTCTTTGAAGCAAAGTTCTTTATACGGATGAGAATCGTATGACAAGTATTTGTCTGTGTGTGTGGGTTTGCGATAAACATCAGCCTCTAACTTCCCTTCGACAGTTCTGTACACATTCAAATCTAAAAAAGGTAAATGTCCATTTATCTCACGTTCTACCGTGAATTGGATGGACGGCTCAATAGAATTTAAATGTTGCAGCAGAATATCGATTTCATTTCTAGAAATCGCAGAGATGACATCATCGACGAAACGTTTCCAAAACGATAGAAGATACCGTAACAGAGGCTAAAGCTCTTTGTTCGACATCTTCCATTACTAAATTAGCAATTACCGCCGATACAGGTGACCCCATCGCTGTTCCAAAAACCTGTTGATAATAACAGCCCTCAAGGACAAAGTATGTGGCGTTGAGACAAACAGCAGATCAATAATGTCTTCTACAGGCAAGCATGTTCTTTGTAACAAAGTGGCATCCTGTCTTAGTCTTTTTGTCGCAACCTTGACGGCAAAATCAACTGGGATGTTTGTAAACATGGAAACGACATCAAATGATATGGTACGACAAGGATACGACATCAATTGATGTCGTTTCCTTGTTTACAAACATCCCAGTTGATCTTGCTATCAAGGTTGCGACAAAAAGATTAAGACAGGATGCCACTTTGTTACAAAGAACATCCTTGCCTGTAGAAGATATTATTGATCTTCTGTCTTTTTGTCTCAACGCCACATACTTTGTGTTTGAGGGCTGTTATTATCAACAGGTTTTTGGAACAGCGATGGGGTCACCAGTATCGGCAGTAATTGCTAATTTAGTAATGGAAGATGTCGAACAAAGAGCTTTAGCCTCTTTTCCGGTATCTCTATCGTTTTGGAAACGTTTCGTCAATGATGTCATCTCTGCGGTTTGTAGAAATGAAATCGATATTCTGCTGCAACATTTAAATTCCGTCCATCCAATTCACGGTAGAACGCGAGATAAATGGACATTTAGCTTTTTTTTATTTGAATGTGCACAGAACTGTCGAAGGGAAGTTAGAGACTGATGTTTATCGCAAACCCACACACACGTCCAGAAAAATACTTGTCATACGACTCTCATCACCCAGTAAGCCATAAAAGATCCGTAGCAACAACTTTGCTTCAAAGAGCTGAATTCTTGCCGTCAAACCGTGATTCTCAAGCTAATGAACGTGAATATGTTCTATATATTTTAGGGGAAAACGATTACCCAAAACGTTTTCTT